GACATCTCAAATCCAACAAAGTTTAGGAATGTTGGTTGAATTGCATGCTTGTTCTTCAGATGACAGCATAAATTGCTATATCTATTCAACAACTGATTCATCACAAAAAAATATATATATATATATATATATAGTGCTATAGTAGATGAGAAAAATTAAATACAAATATAAAAGGATAATGCTAATTTTATAATAATGCAATTTTCTTAAATTGCTTCTCCATTTGAAAATTCATGCCATGATGATTTTATATTTTAATTGGACTTGACATGCATGCAAAAACTTCTTGGTTCATATAATTATCGGATTCACTTTTGTTTATTTAATTTCGTTAAATTAGTAAAACATGATTTTATTTTTACTAATGTGGATTATAATACTTCTTATTGTGTTGTAATTTAGTTTGCAGCAAAGATATGCCTTCTAACATCTTTCAAAAACAATTGTTTCATTGAAATTATGCCACTATATCAAGCACCAAAACGTGGTAAGATTGTCATAATCCTTTTTATTCACCTCAACAACTTCAATCAATCTTTAGAAGTTGACATCACCCTAACAATTTTTTTTGTTTTGTTTTTAATACACACTTTCATGGAAGTCATGGGTTAGAGGAGTTATATAGGTCCTCCCTAAAATGTTTTAAAAATTGGTAATATTTATTTCACGTTTCTTATAATTCATTCATCATATTCATAAGTTGATTCTATATTTCAAAGTATATAATTATTAAAACCATCATTGAGTTCACACCCTATCTTGACAAAAAAAAAAAGAATAAAATAAAAAGATAGATTTGTAGACTTGTATAAGACCTTAAATTAGGGGAAAAAAACATGACTTGCACTTTTGAGATGTTTATTCAAACATGCATTTTAAAACTTCTTTCTTTAATTTTGAAATTATCCAATCCTCTTATTCATTTCTTTTCTTTATGACATAGAGTTATGGTTAAGCTTCTGGTCTGAGGTTCATTACAATTCACTATATGACATTCGAGGTTTTTTTTATCCTTCCTTATAGATATGAACTTAAAAATTCAAATGCTTTTCGAACACTAAATTTGAATATTTTTCTTATTAATTTGTTTACTTGTCTTTGTTGCAGATACACCTATTCCACGTAAATCAAGGAGGAAACATTGGTTATTTTAGGAGAGATTGATTATGTGCATTAAGATATAGTGTTGCTTAATTATTCCAGAGGTAAGGAAAAAGTTCCAAAATCTCACTTCAATTTTTAAGCTTGAAAATAAGTATCTTATGTTTTGATGCTAGAAACCAGCTATTTCTATTATGTTTATTCAACTTCAACTTGGTTTGAACCACTAGAGTTGGCTTAGTGACAAGAAGTTAGAGTAATATGCACAAGGTTATGTGTTTGAACCTTATTAATTGTTGAATTTGTATTCTTTACACCTGATAAAAAAAATTTCGACATGGTTTTGAACTTCAACTTGGTTTTATCATTTCCATACTTAAAAGATGTTAATTGCTCATTTATCTATTAATCTTTTTGTAATCATTCCATTCTTTAAAGCATAAATATCTGGAAATGTTTATGTATTGTTAAAAAAAATAATAAAGCAATTATTATACATGTTTACTATATTGAAATTGCTAATAGAAAATTGGAGGATCTATATATATAACTTTTAAAGATTAAGGAAAAAAGGACAACGATTAACAATCCTTTACATTTTTTTCCTTTATTTCTGTTGCCTACTTTTGATCATTTAGAGAGAGTAGTATATTATTATATTGTGCTCATTGGAAAGTAATTAGTAGCTTAATCTATGTTTATAATATTTCAGACTTCTTTTTCAACATGTTTTAATTTTTTCCTATCATCCAACCTTCTTTTATTTAAAGGATAAAATAGACATTTTCATTATTGTAACAATAAAATGTGTTTGATTTATAATATGTTATTGCTATTTCTAACATACCTATTTTTAATTAATAAATATTAAATTTGAAAAGGGTTTCTTAAAAAATTAAAGTAAAATAAAATTACACTGTAAGTATCCGATTTAATTATATAAAAAAACACTAAACTTAATTTGTATTTTGTATTAAATAAGGGTAGGAAATGGTTTTTCGAAATTATTATTACAAATCATCTTAATTTTTTTAAATTATTTTAATAAATATTTTCAAGCAAAAGTTGGTGAGTACATATTATTTTTAATAAAAATATCTATACAATAAAAATAGAAAAATAAGAAAATTAATTATGTATTTTTAGATGTAGATGCTTTATTTTTTAATTTTACGGGTTGAGCATACGGAATAAGACCTAGATTTCATAATCATATCTTTTCAATTTTCCTCAATCAATTCAACATGTATTTTTACAATTTTATAGTTATATTATCTTGCAATTCAATATTACGTTGAATTTAGTTTATGATGAATTTGTGAACTCTATATATTATACCTCAATATATTAAGAATTTTAGACAACCATTTATTTCTTTGCGAACAAAAAATAAAAATAGTATATAATATATCGTGAACATGTTTTTTTAAAAAATATATAATATTTTACTTTTTTAAATCTAATTTCATTTTATTTCATGCTATTTTTCATATTTTATAAATAAAAACAAAACCCAGCAATCGCCAGGTTGAGATACTAGTTTATTTTATAAAGTACATTTATCAATTTTCGTCACGTTTCCCTTTCTCCCAATATCAGTAAATGACCTTTGTATGGTAAGATAAAATTAATTTAAAATATAAAATGTGTTACATTATATTTTTTAAAATGTTAATCGATATGTATTCTGATAACTAGGTTTCGTCTCCATTTTACTTTTAGACACGCTTATCCTCGATTCACATAAATCTTTCTCCCACTATTATGTTAACCATGTAATTCACTCACTTTTTTATTTATCATTTCACTTTCTTTGTAAACCAGTCATTATTGCTCTTTATTTGTATGAGACTACTTATATAAAAGACGACAATTATATTTTTTCTCACTCTTCTATGCCTCCATCACTTATTCATATAATTTTCATTATTTTAAAAGTTAATTTAATATTTTTAAATATTGCTAAAAAAAGTTTAACTTATAGGTTTGAGAAAACGATAAAAGAACTATTTTATTCTCACTTTTCTTAAATTCTTAAATTTTTCTTTTTAATCATTTAAATTTTAATGTACTGATATAAATATAAATAAGTAAATAAATATAATTGTTGAACCCAAACTCAATGAGGGGAGCAATCACTTACTTTGTAATTCCTTGAAGATAAGTTAGCCTTTCAATGAAGTTGATGAAGTTGAGAAGCTAGGAAAAATGTAAAGTTGTTTGTGGTAGTTTTGTGGGCTTTTATATTCAATTTTCTTGTTATGAATAGAAAGCTAATGGATTCATTTATTTATAAATGATAAAAATATATATTGAATATGACAATATATAAATTAAGTTATTAATTATTATCTGTAACACTCCCATTTGATGTCTATTATTTTAAAACGTATCGCATTAAAATTTTGCTAAGAAAAACATTGTCAAATGAAAACCTAGTAAAGGAAAAAAAATATTATTATTTAATATTTATTTGTCTTTCTCATGTATACAATTCATCTTTAAGACGATGAAGTCCAATCTTATATATCTATTGTTCAAAAACTTTTATTGATAGAGACTTTGTAAAAAGATCTACTAGATTGTCACATAAACGAATTTGTTGAACGTGTATTATATCATTATTTTGGAGATCATGAGTAAAAAAGAATTTTGGTAGAATATGTTTTGTTATATATCTTTTTATGTATCTATCTTTCAATTGAGCAATACATATGTAACATTATCTTCATATATAAGTTTTGATGTCATTTTTCTAGAAGATAAATCACAAGTTTCTCGTACATGTTGAATCACAGATTTTAGCCAAACAGATGCACAACTTGCTTCATGTCATTTTTGCATGATTAGATTATATGGCTACTATGATTTTCTTTACAGATCGCCATGTGACAAATATCCAATTGTGATTTACCACTGTGAGGATTTGACAAATAATGTGTTTGCATAACCATTTAGTTTTGGCTTGGAAACATTTGGATAGAAGAATCCCTTATCCATTGTATCTTTAAGATAATGAAGGATTTGTTTAACTCTATTTCAATATTTTCGTGTAGGTGAAGAGTTATATCTTACTAACATGTCGTTGCCATTTAATTACCCACATCCACCTCCACCACGACCACCACTTCTTCCTCCTCCTCCTTTTGTTACACCTCTAAAATTTTGCTTACCCAAGCTTCAACTTAAAGCCTTTGATGATGATGATCCATTAGACTGGATATTTCAAGCTAAGTAATTTTTTATGTATCATCAAGTTCCATGGGACCAATGCTTATCCATTGCAACCTTTTTACATGAAATGTGATGCCCTTAGTTGGTTCAAGTAGATGTACTCCAACAATCAACTTTATGACTAGAATTAATTCACTAGGGCCTTAGAGCTCCATTTCAAGCCCTCTAACTACAAGAACCACAAGTAGAGGTTTTTTAAGCTCCATCAAACAAGCTTTATTTCTAATTGTTAAGCTCATTTTGAAAAAATTTCTAATCATACTTTTAATTTAACCCTTACAAATTTTCTTTTGTTTTATTTTAGGTTTAATTCTATAAATTCATAATGAGATAAAAGTTCCGCAACATATTTCTATGACTTAAGCCATCAAGCTTGTTAAGTTTCTAGAATACAAGATCCAAGATGTTAAACCCAACTACCAAAAGGCATCCCCACCTACTTGGTCCTATCAGAAAACCACACCTTCCCGATACTATTTCCACTTCCTCGAATATTGTCACCACTTCCAAACACCCTTCGCTACCCATAAAAAAAATTCCCTAAGCCAACTTCAAGAGCTTCATCTTGCTAGTTAATTTATTTTATTACTATGATGAGAAATATATCATCAAGGTCATAACTATAGTCCTAATGAATTTCTCATCTTATTGGTTGAGCCTGATATGGATAACATTATTTCCCCAGCTAATGATCCAACTACCTAGGACTTTAATCCTCATCTGGACTTTGTTCACTTACAACCTTCTAGTCAGGCTCTCACTAGTTTTCCTTCACCAAAAACTCTAAAGTTTCAAGGTTTGATTCATGGCCTCTTAGTCATGATTTTGGTGGACTTAAGGAGTTCTCATAATATTATACAACCATACATTACCTTACACTTACAGCTTATAACTAAGCCTACCCATCATTTTTTCCTTATGATAAAAAATAGTGAACATATTACTTGTTCAGGATTTTGCCCACAAGTACCCATCATTTTTCAGCATCTCTTCATTATACCATGCTACTTGTTACCAATTCAAGGCATTGATGTGATTATGGGAATTGAGTGGCTTCGTGTTATTAGCCCTTTACAAGATAATATTGCCATGCCCTAACTTCATTTTCTCATGATAACACCCTATCACTATCATTAGTGAAGCCAATGCTCATCCTACCTTCACCTCACTCCATCAGATGTGTCACTTAGTACATACCAACTCCATTATTTCATTTCATCTACTCTCCTTCTCCCTTGCTAATCCACCCTCCCCTCAACCTTTATAACCTATAGATCCTCAACTATAAAAATGTTCTTGACTTTTTTCCTCTTGTTTTTGATAAACCTCATGGCCTCCAGCCACCAAGACCATATAACCATCATATCAATCTTATTCCATATGCATCTCTAGTTAATGTAATACAGATACCCTCATTCTTAGAAAGATGTTATGTCATAACTCATCCAAGATATGTTGGTGAAAGAGATTATTACCCCGAATACAAGTCCTTATTCATCTCCAGTTCTCTTAGTTTGAAAAAAAGATAGCATATGGCATTTTAATTTGTGTGGACTACCATGCACTCAATGCAATCACAATTCAGGATCATTTTCCTATTCCTACAATGAACGAATTATTAGACAAAATAAGTGCTACAAATATTTTTTTTCTGAGATTGATTTATGCTCTGGCAATCATCAAATTAGGGTTCATCCTCTCGATATTCCTAAAACAATTTTTCACACATTTGATGGTTTCTACGAATTTCTAGTAATGTTCGGTTTATCTAATGCTCCATCTACTTTTCAATATGTTATGAACAATTTACTTTGCCCTTATTTGTGAATGCTCGTTTTAGTTTTCTTTTATGACATATTGATATTTAGTGTTTCTTTAACTAATCATATCCAACATCTTAGTATCATTTTACAGTTATTAAGTGTCAACCAATTTCTTGCTAAGAAATCAAAATATGTTTCTGGAGTTTCAAGTGTGGCCTACCTAGGCCATATTATTTTAAGTATATTAGGGTTGCCCCAAACCCTAATAAGGTTTAGGCCATTGTTAAATGGTCACAATCGTTATCACACTCGACACTCCACGAATTTCTTAGTCATACTGACTTTTACAGAAAATTTGTGTGCAATTATGCC